TCTATTGGGCGTGCTGCGAAAGTGATGGATTTGTTTGGCGGCTCATCGTTGCTCGTATCATTTGAAATGTGAAACTCGGAATCGGAACTATCTTCGATTATCTGAGCGGAATGGAGAGTTATATCCCGAGAAGTGCTAGGAATATCGGGTATTATCACAGAGTTATTATTCTCGCCTACAACACGCATGGGCAGCGCTTGATAGTGAAATGAGACATTTCGGATAGATCTACGACGTAATTTGTGTTTGCGGCTATTGTCAAAATCACTGGAACTTGTAGACGTGTTATGGCTGTTTTCTGAAGACAATTCGGAGTCCTGACAGTCTTTAGTATTGGAGTTTTTAGGCTTTTTAGACATATTTCTTATTAACCGTAGCGAAATTGTTTTGGTTCCTACATGAGCACTGGTTCACTGAAACTTGGGAACTGGTTCGCTGGAAATCGAACTTAAGTGGCAACTCCCTGACTGACGTTGCCAGGCTGTCCAGTCACAGTGTGGCCAGATCGCAGCGACGGCAGTGCATTTTCAACAAAAATAAGGTAAAATATAGCACAAATATGGCCAGCAATTGTTAAACAATTAGGCAAATTGCAAGCAATCTAAGCCAAAGGCAAACGTGTGAGTGTGGGGAAAAGGAGCCTGCTTGGGCGTTGCACATGCAGCGGTCGGAAATTGATTAATTGCGGCGCATGCCGAAAAGGGAAAAAAGGGAGGATGTGTTTCAATAAAACGACGGGGAAAACCGCGACGAACAAGTGACAATCGGCGAAACAAAGAACTCCGTGTGGAAATGGATGTAAAAAATATGTGGCTCAATGTTTAATCTATGGATATCCTCCTCATTTTCCAGTTGAAAGCTACGTGTTGCAACAACAAAGGCAGCCCAAAAGTGCAACCGACCTAACGGGAGTTGCTCCTCTACATATAGATAATAATCGAGAGATATCCGGGAGATAATCCAGTATGGCGGATCCAGAGCGACAGAGCCTGATCAACAAGGACGACGGCAATGGCTACAACTCCGTGGACGCCGTGGACGAGGGCACCGACAATCCCGGGAGCAGCTCATCGGTGGCCACCAACGACGACGGTGCGTATCGTTATTGTAAAGCCGGGCCGGGCATTCAACCCGCATCCAATCAGCCGGGTGGCATTGGAAACCCAACAAGTGTGCGGGCGCTCTACTTATCCACCGCCGTGATTCCAAGTAGTCGTCCGCTCGTCTAACTTTGCATTTTCACACTTCACCCAACTGAGTCATAGTGGGGGGAGCACAGAAAGAAAAACTGATATGATATATGGGTCCAAAACATTATCATAAAAGCATGGTTTTAATAATTCAAGATTTTTTTCTATAACCATTTCAACTTCATATATAACAATTCACAAAATTTATATATGTTAACACCTTCAATTTGGAAAAGTGTTTTTTAAAATCTATTTTCCAACTTTATATACCAAGTCTAGTGTTAGTAAAAAAAAGGGTGGTTTAATGTAGCGGTAGGATTTCAAGACGTGCTTTTGTTACCAATGGTTTTCAGTTTTTCTTAGTTTAAGCATGCAAGTTAGGTCGTCATACTTTATAACTGCAGAAACTCTAGACTTACGAAATTATATCATATGATGCTATAGTAAACTCCATTTTAAACGTAAATATTCATTTAATATTTATACATTAACACAAAACAATGTCATATGTAGAGAAGGAATTGGATCCGTCACTTTCGTTATTAGCCCAGATTACCTGGAAAAAAATTTTTCACACATGCAAATTTTTTAATAGTTAGATGGAGTTAAATTTCTTTCTGTTTATGCGTTGTTAGTAACCCGATGCCGGTATCGGCCAAATATTTGCAATGCCTTTGTTATTGTTTATGCTAGGACGCCTTAATCAACGCAAGTAGCGTTCCCCACAGCTGTTTAATCAGCATCGATTTGGCGGTGGTGATAAAAAGGTGGAAAAGCGGGGGAACCAGGCCCATGAGTCATCGTGTGATTCGCTGCGTTATCGCAGCCCTGTGCGAAACCGAAGGCACAGAGGGACTGCGATGAGCTGCGGATCCATTGTTTACCAAGGAACCTGATCTTCAGCTCAGGGAAAGCTCAGCCATATCATTAAAATACTCTACAAGAGTTCAGTTACATTGGATGTTCAAGGTGGTATCATTAAATTTATAAGTAACTCTAAAAACAACAAAGGCTTGACATTTAGGCAATCAGAAACACATTATTTTTGATCTTAATCATTAGTGTTCTTCGATTTCTTATATTTTTATCATATTTCTTGAGTTAGGCCTTGATACAATTTTCTGTCGGTGTTTCGGTTTGGGAAACTTCATAATTGTAGTCTGTTTTTGATTTCGTTAGTCAGCAAATGTGGGTTATTCAGAACAAAATTGATAATGTAATAGAATCTATAAAAAGAACAAACATTTCACCGATTTAAAACTATAATTGCTATGAAATTTCCATGACGAACTTAGACATATCGTATTTTAAAAACGAGAAAAGGGTTCTATTTTATTAGACCCACTTAAGAAATGTCCTCTGAAGTAGTAGCACATTACATATTTTCATGGTTTTGTTGTAAGTGAGATAAAATATATTTTTATTTAATTGCATTAATAAAAATTAATTTTTGATAATTGATATCATTATTGAATTGACAAATCCACAATTTGTCTGTAACAGCCTTTATTCCGAATTGTGGTAAATGAAATGGAAGTGTATGTAAGTTCTTTGTATTCTTCTCGGGGCTTGTTTATGTTTACATACTTCTTGCACAAAGTTCGAACTTGTTTTGATCGAGAGCTGAGCTCCACCACTGCGGTCTAGCTGCACTAGTTTAATGTGAAGACAGGAACGCTGCATTCATAGAGCCAAAACATTGACCCATTTGGCTTTATCGCAGCTTCTCCGACCCAGACACTATCGGAAAATGCAGTTCTCACTCTCTCCGCGAGGCAATCTTCACCAGATGAGCAGTGTGGTTGAGGGAACACTGCTGGCGAGATGTATTTATTTTACACCAAAGGTCTAGGCTTTGCAGGGCAAGGGTTCAGCAATTTATTTTATTAATAATTCTGTTTTCTAAATGGTTATACAGGCAATGGAGCACCGACAGCGGTGCCTTGCATTGGACCTGACGAGCTGCCGCCGCCGTATCAACAGAGCACTAATACCGGAGGCGTGCCCATGGTGACCTGTCGGGTATGTCAGCACATGATTGACATCACCACGAAGCGGGAGCAGCACGTGGTCAAGTGCACCCACTGCAATGAGGCAACTGTAAGTTGTAAAATACTATATCCCTAGATATATCCCGATGTTTACTCTCCCTTTTGATATCCACAGCCCATTCGAAATGCTCCGCCGGGCAAGAAGTACGTTCGCTGCCCATGCAACTGTTTGCTTATCTGCAAGAGCTCCTCGCAGCGCATCGCTTGTCCAAGGCCCAATTGCAAGAGGATCATCAACCTGGCCCCGAGTCCCGTCACCCCGCCCGTGCCCACCATGCCGGGCATGTGCCGCGTCACCTGTGGCCACTGTTCGGACACGTTTTTGGTGAGCTATTTGCTGGATTTACACCCAGAAAGCACACTCTAATGCTTGCTCTTGCAGTTCAACACGTATCACAATGCCCTAGCCCGCTGTCCACACTGCAGGAAGGTCTCGTCGGTGGGTTCGCGCTTCGCCAATAGCCGCGGCGTGATGTTTGCCATAGTGGCGCTGGTGTTCCTCATCGCAGGCATCGGCGTGACCGTCGGCACATACTCGATTGCTTCGGTAAGCAAAATATATGGGTCTTCAAAAAGAAAACCACATTGTTCTTCTGACAACAAACATTTTCCCATATTTTATTGTTTACCCCCATACTAAGTCCGTATTTGTTTTCTTTATTTCTTGTAGGATCACGGCGGCATGTACTTCCTCTATGTGGCACTGTTCGTGATTGCGGGGTGCATGCTGGCCCGCTCCGCCTACTATTTCCGCCTTAAAGTGAGCGCCATCGATGGGCCAATGTAAAGCTAAAGCACGGGGCCAACAGCAAAGGAAGTGCATTGTTTTATTTTTATATATATATTATTCATATATATCATTCCTTTTGATATTAAATTTAACTAAACAAAAGCAGCCAATTTGCAGACGGATCATGTGAACATTTTTCCAGCAGTCCAGCTAAAAAAATTCTTAATTTCGATCAAAAGTAATAGCAAACCTAGCTAAATTATCGAAAAGAAGGTCCCCGTTTAAAGTGATTTTGAAAAGCATAATTAGTATGTTAAGGCCGTAACTAAACTAAACTCTATACTAAAAGCAAATATTTCGAAGGTCGCAGGAGCAGCTACCATTAAAGTGCTAAAAGAGAATCGCAGAACTGTAGGCAGTCATTAGTTATTAGATCAGCGACCGATCAACTCCACATGCACCCGCTATAGGATCCCATTTATAGAATCGTCAGGCTCCATTTTAAAGATTTGTACAGTTTCGTTGCTTAAGTGTCCGATTTGTTATCCGTTTGTGCCTGTCCTGCAACTGTTTCGGTATTTATTCTTCACGTATTCATCGATACGCTATGAATTTTGTGTTGCTAAGAATTTATCCAATGCACTCTTCTCAGTTCCCGCCAAAGCAGATGTGAGCGTTTTGTCTTTTGGCGTTAGAAATAATTTAAAGGGTATGCTAATAGTGCTAATGAAGGTACATACATACGCGCATATATACCACACATACATAATTATAATGAAAATAAACAAAGCAACACTTCTTGAACAACAGAGGAAAAAAGCAACGCTCATGCAGAAACAACAATTTAGACAGCAACTGCTAAACTGCGAAATTGAATATATATATGATTAAAAGGAACGGTTTACTTTTGAAATATATATATATACAACATTTATATTTAGTACATTATAAATTAGCATACATACACTGTAAATAAAAAGAAATAAAACCACAAGCACAACTGACTTTTTTTTGGCGACAACATGGCGAAGCTATAGAGTGCCTTGAACTTGCTGTCAGACATATTCGATCTGATTTTCATAATTTATCTCTCAGCCTGTGAAGTGTTATTCCAAAATGTCGTCTTTGGCTCCTTGTTTCACCGTGGGATCTATAGTGCGCTGCAAAACTTGTTTTGGCGATAATATTTTAGGAGAGGTATTATCTATATATTTATTTTCAAATTATTTGGAATATAAATTATATAATAAATTCAATCCCTAGGTGGTTTCTTTTGATCTGGGCGTTAAAATGCTTATGATGAAGTGTCCATCCAGCAAAGGAGGTGGTGACGAACAGACCATTTGCAACCTGACCATTGTGAATCTTTCCCTGTGCGTGGACATTGAGATTGTCAAGGAAATGCTGCCCTTAGAGAATGTACAACCCCCAGAACCGATCAATATCCAGAAGGTAAATTTTCTATTCTTATACTATGAGCCAAATATCATTTTCCGTTCTAGCTTCAAGAGCGGTTCCTACGTGCAATCGAACATCGTACGATTTTCTGCCGTAGCTATCATCCCCATGCATCTCCTTTTGGTCAAGCCCTTTATAGGTTCATGGTCAAGCATTTCGGTAATGCTGCAGTCAAGTGGTACAGCCAAGGCGATAATGTAGCCATCGTTATACTGAACCAGGTGATCATAGAACCGCCGTATGCAGTTGGAAATATCAGATGCCAGGGGTGGGAACCCAAATTAGCTATATACGTCCAACGCATCGTAGCAGACTTCCACAATAAACAACAATAAAACGACGCCCGTGCCCATGGCAACAGTCGTCTAGATATGAAGCTCTCGATTCTCTGGCCGCTTTGTTTATCAACAAAACAATTCGAAATACATATACGTAGTCTCGACACCCACATAGAACACTTTTCTTTATCTGCCAAAAAGCACAATTCCAATTTGTACACAAACGATTTAATGCACTGCTAAACAAAAATTTGCCATGGCCGATGATGAAGATAAACCAAAAAAGCACACCCTAGACTCACTGTTCCTGGTTTATTGCAACTTCCAGGTAAGATAAATCTGTTAATTAAGTATACTATTTATTAGGCTAATTATACGACGGCAGGTTATACCCACGGACATCGAAAACGAGGTGTTCGACAGCATACTCCTCTCTCAACTGGATGCCTGGCTGGAGCAAGCTAAGCTTATGCCGAATCCTATCACCCGAACCCAAACTGGTCTCATCTATATGCGATACAAGTAAGAATAATCTTAGCTAAATATAATATCTCTCTAATTAAAACAAAACCCTAGAAAATGGCGCTTGGAATATGAAGACTTTCTGGAGGTTCTAAACAGCTTGGCCTCTGATAACGACTTACCAATAGATGAAATGAAGCAGGTGATGATCGATGCTGGAGTCCCAAGCGGTGCCGATATGGTCGTAGTCGTCAAATAGATGGTCTAGTGCATCACTGTGGTTCATTTATTTACATAAAAAAGTATGCATACAACAATCAAATTTTCGATAGTAACAATTACATAAATATAGACAATTTTGATTAGTTAAATTGTTCACAAAAATTATAGAATAGTATAAAAGCGTCCAACAAAAAGCCTCTTATACCAATCAGTTAGTTTAGCATTTTAAAAGAAGAGGGTGCTTTAGACTTAGACATTTTGAGATTGCTGATAAGAAAACGAAATACAAATTGTAGGGGAAGTACAAGCTTATACGGAATTCAATAAATTTACTGATATTTGCATATCTTAATAAATCGTATAATTATTCGATTAGGCATTGGGTCTGTTCGCTTTGCTTTTCTTCCCTGATATTAATAACAACTTTTATTTGGACAACAGAGTCTGGTTGGATTTAGTTCTAGCACCTGAACAAATATGTAATGTGGCGGCTCGGAGATTACGATGTTACAAAAATACATGCTTATTCAATCCGTTTATCTTATAAATATTGTTGATGCGTATTAATGGCTTTACGAGTGTCTCGTAGCTAATGTGTAAGGTAATAATGCACTTTTCCGTTTGTACTAGCAAATTTCCAGCTCTTGTCGAGGTGCGCAGAGCTACTTTTTATTGATGCTCGCTCTTAGTCATCCCTCCAGAGGCTCCGTATAGTATAAAAGCTATAGTGTAGATTGTATAAATTGTGTATGCGGTTCGTGCCATTCCAAGGCCACTCCAATTCGCCACATGAGGCTGTATTTCCGGACTTTGTCATCTGATAAGATTATCTTGTTGGCTAAGTGAATGTATCTCTCCCGATCTTCGGGGTGTATCGTCATGGATCTTTGTTGCTTTGCTCATATCATCATTCATGAGTAATATAATGCACAGGTATGATAAGTATTCGTGGCACTTAGGATAAGATTAGTATCAATTGCAAGTGATTTAAGAGTAAATTGTTCTCTCCAGCCAGTCGTCCAGATTAAAGAAGGCGGTATCCGAATTGTCCGTATCCCGTTCGCGGAACATCTCGATAAATGTCCTCACCTTTATAGCACACATAAGGAAATCGTCGAATGGTATTTGTCCCTCCCGCGAACCGTAGCGATGGGCCAGGGCATTCAGGAGCCGGTTGTTCAGATGGTAGCCAGCCGAATTGAGCGCTCCGCGCAGATGGAATCCATCGATACTGCCAGTGCGGCGAGTGTCATACAGTTTAAAGACCGCCCGCCACTTGGCAATATCGGTAAGCAAAGCCTCGAACTCCTCGAAGCCTAGGCGGCCGGAGCGATCCTTGTCCAGCATGGCCACCATCGAACGCACGGCATCCTTGGAGAAACCGTCGGCGCCCACCATAACGTCGCGCATTGAGTGGTCCAGGATGCGCTTCAGCTCCTGCCAGTCCACCTCTTCATCGCTGCCAGCCACGCTGTCAAACAGGCGACGCAGGGCAATGCGCTGCGGATCATCCTCCTCCTTTGGAGTTGGTGGCGGCAGAGCCGGGGCGATGCGGTCATCGGTTTCGCCAAAGCCTACCTCGTCGTCGTTCTCTTCCATGTTGTTCATCGTCTCCGAGAAGACGCGAATGATAAACTCGCCCTCCTCATTAGGATCGAAAGTCGAAGGAACGATCAAGTAGTGACCAGGAGGCAACTTAAACCTGGCGCACACCTCGCGCGTGTTAATGAAGTGCGGTGATCGGGCCACCGAAGCGCGGTACTTGAAGAAGTTCAGCCCCTGGGGCTTCACCTGCATGTCCCTATCCGTCAGATGATAAATGGCAAATCCAATGGTAAGGCAGTCAATGCCCACGTTGCGCTTGCTGCGTCGGTTCTTTTGCATCAGCGCCACAATAGCTGTGCACTTGCCGTCATCATCCTCGTCGTCGGGATCCTCCAGCGATATAATATACTGCGGATTGTGCCAGAAGGTTTCCAGGAAGTTTCTGCAACCTCCGGCCGTTACGCCCGATGTCCACTCACCCTCAAACATGGACATCTCCCACTTGCGACGAGAGCTATGCTGTTGATCCTCAGTCAGCGAGTCTGGCGACAGGTTACAGATCTCAACACGATCAAAGTGGTTAAGGAAGTCCTGGAAGGACATCCAGAACTCGCCGTCCCGGTCGAAATTCAGGCCAATCTCCTCCTTTGTGTGCTCCGGAATGAAACGCCACTCAGGCGAGCTGTCACTCCATGGACCGCTCCACTCGGCATCGTTACCCCAGGGATTACGCATGCGAATCATGGGCAGCTTGCCCTGGCGATTCGGTGTCGAAATGTCCATGAGGCACACCTTCGTGATGGAGTAAGCATGTCCGCGAATCAGACCCTGAGGGGTCTCCGCCTCCAGTACGTGTGGATCCGGCTCCAGGGAGCAGCCCATCATCGAACCACGCTCGGCGGCCTTCATCATGATGCTGAATAGATTTGGAGGAGCCTCCTTGATATCATACCACTCGGTGACGCCGCCAGTGAAGTCCTCCATGGCCTCGCAGGTGGTGCCGCCTAAAGGTAAAGAATAAATTGTTAAAGGTTTTGAATTAAAAATTTATATAATAATCTAACAACAAAATTCAGAACAGAAAACGTGTCACATATGCATACATTTTTATAAAGAACCTATTTATGATAAGCATGGTATATTTTTAGAAAGGAATTTTGAATAAAATTTAAGCATGACACATTCACTATATACGAATTATGATAATAGTATCTCATACCCTTGAGAGCTTCATAGGAACCATGGAGCTTTGCGTAGGCCTTCTCCAACAGGGCGCTCCAGAATTCGTTCTTCTCCGTGGAGTGCATGTAGATTAGCTCGCCATTATAAGTAGGAAGGCGATCATCGATGACCACCTCCACCCACTTGCCATACTGCCAGAACTTGAAGTGGAAGATTCCAGCGTAGTTCTCCTGGAAGTCTTGATCCGGAGGGATCACCCGGAAGAACAACGTCGAATCCTGCGTGAGGTTGGCCGCTGCAGCCAGGAGCCAGCTGTAAAGGAAAGTGATTACTTTAAGTTATTATATTTCAGACAAGGATAGATTTCATCTTACCAATCGCCAAGTTCTCCTTGTTGGACATCGAAACGCGAATAGCCCTCCACAAAGAACTGCGGATCGTCAACAATGTCGCCGGGACGCAGCCACTCGTAATAGCGATCTGGTCGCCGGGAGTACATCAGCGAGGCATTAGTGGCCGGAAAGTCGGGATCCTCGAACATGGTTCCATTGGCCACGCAGCTGGCGCGAAGGGATTCGAAATCTCCCTTGCTGACGCTGTTCTGCCGAGCACTGGTGGCCTTGCGACCCATCCAGAACATATTCTGGTTCTCCGGCACCTTGACGCTGGTGAAGCTCAGCTCAGCAACGCCCACGGAAGGTTCCTCCTCCTGAGTAGGAGCACTGGCCGGTGGTGGAGCCGTCGGATATGGCAGAGCTGGGAATCCAGCACTGTGCTGAGGAGCCGGACTTGTTGGCATTGGAGAGTACGGCATTGGCATGCTTGGGAGGCCGGGCATGGCCGTTGGATATGGAGCAAGTGGAGCAGCTGGATAGGGAAGATTGGGCTGGGGCATGCCACCTGGGTAGGGCATTCCGGTTGGGTAGGGGGCCATCGGGGCAGTGGGATACGGCAACGACGATCCGGCCGAGGGCAGACTAGGATAGAGACCACCTCCCGGGTATGGCGTGGCACTGGGATAGGGTGATGGTGCTGACGGAGTTCCTGGCACGGGCATTCCCATGCCCATACCGGGTCCCGAGTACGAGGCATTTTGGGCGTGACTCGTCTGCTTCACCACATATGGCATTCCACCCACGGATTCCGACGAGGGATAGGGTAGCGAAGGGTAGAGACCTGCTTTGGGCTTGGGGGCTCCTCCTTCGCTGCCGCCGCTGACTTCATTCTTGCTGTAGCCCAAGGCCGCCAGGTTGACCAGGCCAATGCCACTGGCATGATAATTCTTAGGGTAATTATCAATCCCGTACATCTTGGTTTTCCTCTTCCACGCACTGGGTTTTCCCAAATCTACGAACTAATGGCGTTTCAAATGGGCTAAAACAACGGAGCTAGCTGATTCCAGATGTTTATTAACTCGCTGGCGTGATAAAACTGCTGACTCGCTGGGGGAATCGTACGCTTTAAATGGGAGAAGTATCCAAATTTAACTTTCTCGGTAAATGATTCATAATCTTTAACCCTTGTGCGCACGGTTTTTTGCCTTAAATGTATAGGTGCACGCATGGTCAAGTGCATTTCATTAACTATGAATGAACAATATCTTAATATAGCTAAAAATTAAAATACAATTTTTTAATTAAGTTTTTATAAAAAATAACATTAACATACATAGATTAATGGTATTAAGAATAATACAGTGCACATCTTTGTTTGTGTGACTTCACTGTCTTCAGCACGGACAGTAATTATATTTTAAAAATATGTTTTAACAATAATAATGCTAATAGTTTACGTATTGTTATTTTAAATCGGAAAAACCAAAACCCCGCAACACCACAAAGGGTTAAGCGATGCTTGCAGGGCTGCATCAGGCTGTAGAGTTGCCAACATACCGAATTTAATTTTGGTATTTTTTTAGCCCTGTCGGCATTCACATAAAGAAGAAGAAGAAGTTAAACAGAGCTCTTGTTTTTTGATAACAAACTGAAATTTATTTGACATATTCTGGAGAAGAACGGAAAATTAAGCGATGGAAACACAACCTGAGGTGCCCGAGGTGCCGCTGCGTCCGTTTAAACTATAAGTATTCCCCCAGTTCTTTCAGGAATACCCAAATAACAATTTCTTACTTTTTACCAGCACGGCGCATCAGGTTGTGAGTCTCACGGGCATCAGTTTCGAGCGGAAGAGCATAATCGTAAGGATATATTTTCATTGCCTGGGTTTGTGGCCTATTAATAACTTCTCCTTTTAGGGCGTGGTCGAGCTCACCATCGTGCCGAACAGCGAAAACCTACGCCTCATCCGACTTAATGCCAAGCAGCTAAGGATCTACA